ACAGATACCCACACACACACCTACACACAGACACCCACACACACACCCACACAGACAGACAGACAGACAGACACCCACACACACCTACACACAGACACCCACACACACACACCCACACAGACAAGCACACACAGACAGACAGACACAGACACCCACATAGACACCCACACAGACAGACAGACACCCACACACACCTACACACAGACACCCACACACACACACCCACACAGACAAGCACACACAGACAGACAGACACAGACACCCACATAGACACCCACACAGACAGACAGACACCCACACACACCTACACACAGACACCCACACACACACACACACACAAGACACACAGACAGACAGACACCCACACACAGATACACACACACACACATACACAGACACAACTGAAAAACATCTTAACGATCTGCACTAATCAGGGACGAGTTCTCATTTCTGGTTGACACATAAAAAAAATTAAACAAATTGAAATAAATAACCTTTTCCTACAAAACCTTTCAAAACTTTTTTGTGAAACCACCCTGGAAAGTATAAACACACGTGTGAATTGGGGAGGGAGGAGGAAAAAAGCACAATTTATTTATGTACAGTATATATATATACATATATATATATACGTATGTATTTTAAAATATATATATATATTCATAATGTAGAGAAAATAATTGCAACGATGGTGATCTTTGCAATAAAAAAAAACACAATGAAATTAGACTTACAATAGTTTGGAGGTTCGATTGGGAGAAAATAGATTTTGTTTCAGGGAATGAAACGATGTTTTATATATAAAGTATTGTCGGAAGCGATCGCTGCATAATACAGTCAGATCATCACGTACGATTTCATTGCATTACGTGCACATCTGCACAGATTTATTAAGCATTTTTTTCCAAAAAAAAAAGACCCTATTAAACAAAGATAGGGTGACATCCCCTCAACCCCTCACCTCCAGCTCTTGGGGTCAGGTTGTTTTTGGGGACTGTTTGACACACTCCTTCTACTGCCACTTGACATAAAATTCGCTCTCTTCAAAAGGTGTAGTTTTGCATTTTGCAAAGCAAAGCAAAAACAAAAGATGCATTTCTCTCTGTTATAGGGGATGAATGGATCATTACACCACACGACTTGGAACAAGTGGCTTCGAGACCTGGTTCTCTTACAGTAGGTTTGGAGTCGAGATTTCATGTTAGCAATTCGAAGACATTAAATGGACATGAAATCGACATGAAATCGACATGATTGAGTGATTGATTGATTGATTGATTGACTGATTGACTGATGGACAAGAATGCCAGACATCTGCTACTCTTATATCAAGAAAATAGTTGGGGGTTTGAGAGTTTTTTTTTGTTTGGGGTGGGGGTTAGGGTTAGATACAGTTTTTTTTTAATAGTTGCATTTCTTTTTCACACATATACCTATATATAGAGAGAGTTTATACACCGTATATAAATATGCACACATATCAGCAATGCAGAGAGAGGCAATCGCGTAAAAATAGAGGGTTGGTTTGGAGTTAGGGAGGAGAGGAGAGGGAGGAGAGGGAGAGAGGGAGGAGAGGGAGGGAGGCAGCAGCAAATCACCATCACAACCAATTAAACAACGCACCGTTTCTTTTTTGTCCTCACTTTTGCAACTTTGCAAAAGTTTGGAAAAAGTCCAACACACAAAAAGGCTCAAGAACAGAGAAAGAAAGTCAAGAGAAAAAGAAAGAGAGAGAGAAAATATATATATATATATATATATATATATAAGGGAGAAGGATGGGGAAGGGAGAGGGAGAGTTGGAGAGGGGGGTGGGTGGGTGGGGGAGTTTGATGGGTGGGGGTTGGGGTGGGGGGTCTGGGTGGGTGGGTGGGTGGGTGGGGGTCTGAATTCGCGAAATAAGAGTTAGAAAATATGAATCAGTTCCTCACTCGATGATCACTGCATTCAATTCACTGTACTGCGACCATCCTACGGTCTAAAGCGTCCAAGTTCCTTGTAAAGTGCTCACACACTCTCTGCCAAATGTATAACATAGTTATAGCATTATAGCACACTCTGTCAAGCAAGTTCCCCCCGCCTCCTGCAACGCCCCCTGATTGACATAAATAGGAGAGAGAGAAAGAGAGAGAGAGAGAGAGAGAAAGAGAGAGAGAGAATCTGGATTCAAATTGGTATTTGGAAATTACTGACTGGGGGCCATTTAAGGGAAAGTCCACAATATTACCTTTTTTTCTGAGAGACACGGTTGAGTGAGATGGAAATGGCTCCTGGATTAGTGCCCGCCGCGCTCGGGGTTAAAAAACAATGCCCGACCGACTTATTACCTTCCTCTGGATGAGGGTTAACCTTTCACGCGCGTGGTTTTTTTGGGGGGGGTCACATCTGCCTGACCTCTTCTTGGAAAGAACACTTACCTGTGAAATATCATCGGAACCGACTCTTTCCCTTCCCTTCCCTTCCCGCCCCCCGAGTTTGTAGCACCCTCGTCTCTTGAGTTACACGGATGTGGGTTCGGGCCCCCGCATCGGGACTTTGGGTGCATACTCTAGGCTGACGCTCTCGTGCAGTGCTGGGGGGTTGGGGGAGCACGCATTGCTGCAGATGTCGTCCTTTGGATGAGACGTCAAATGGTGCCATTAAAGATCCAGTGGCACTATTGGAAAATAGAGGGTCCTGGCTGACAATTCCCCAGATAAAATTGGTCATATGCTTCATTTCTGTTTATGGGATACTATTGTGGGCAAATTGGCTGCTGCATCGACCTATAAAATACAGTCACTGCACATTATAGTAAAGGCCTTGAAGTGCTGCGTAACTCCTCTCGGATGTGGCATCAAATAAAGGATTATTGTTGGCTTGAGGTTTGGAAACCCTTAATTATCCAACACCTTGGGACATCCATCCGATGTGAAAGGCGCTACGTAAATGTAATTTGTCGTTCTTGTAAACAGTCGTGTGTCAGCAGGTAGGTGCTGTGTGGGAATTACCTTCCACTGTGTGACAACTTTCCAAGGGAAACACGACCTTGGTAATTTCTGTCGCTTTCAATCCCTCCAGTTGCTGGCTACCACTGTTGGTGGGTCTCCAAGGAGATGGCTGTGATACACACCTCCTGTTACACAGTGTATAGTTTCGGACATGACATGTGCATACGGCTGGTGGAAGACCAACTGGATGGACCTTGGTCTTCTTTCACCTAGCAACTCTTATGTTCTTATGTTCTATGTTCAGAGTCACGCTGGTTGCTAAGTTCAATAAGCTTCAGAGATTTAGCAGAGATTTAGCTAGAATGTAGCTCTCAGTGGCTCGCTGCTCGGAGATGATTCACATCAAATGCTAAAGCAAATTAATTCGAACCCCATATTTAACGAGTTACTCTGGGGGTCTAAAAACGGTGGTTTCATTACGATGCTCTAATAATAATCCTTGTTTTTGATAACAACAATTGGGCAAGTTCCTTACTCCACATGCCTGATAATAATTCCTCAAGAAAAAAAACAATAATTAATTGGTCACTTCAATCCACGACTGTTTGTGGGACACTGCTGTACGCGATTGGCTGCTGCGTTTTGCCCACAAATATAGTCAATTCAATTTATAGTCTATTCTGTGAAGCGCTTTGAGACGTTGTGAAGACGTGAAAAGCACTATATCAAATGCAAAGGATTATTATGTTATTACAAGAAGTTCTCTGAGATGCTACCCTGTGTGAGGAGCGCTACATAAATGTAAGTTGGTGTTGTTATATAGCGCCTTGCATGGTGAGAGGACGTCTCAAAGCACTTCACAGCTTCCCGATCGAAAAACAATTGCAAGGATTATTATTATTAATAATAATATCAAATGCTAAAACAAATTAATAAGAACCCCACAATTATTCTGTGACCCCAGAATAATACTTTCAGATACTGTGAGATACTAGTACAAGAGGAAACAGGTTTAGAGTTTTCAGGCCAGAAACCAGGAAGTATTTCTTTATCCAGAGGGTAATTAACGACTGGAACAGGTTGCCAGGAAGGGTGATTGAGACCAGGACACTGGGACTCATTCAAAAAACAGGTTGACGCCGTGATTAGAGGTTGGGAGTTCAGGGGAAGGGTGAGATCAAATGGGCCGAAGGACTTTCATCATCCAAACTAATCTTGTGGTGTTGTGGAGTGCCAGTAACTATAATATTGCACTGCAGTGCTGCGGTAATCATCTTGTTAAAAGATTGACATCTCAGCCACCCAGAATTCAACCACCTGCCTTCATAGTGTGTTGTACTGAGTGCAGGAACAAGACAGGAACAAGAGGCATAAGCGTATCTCACATGTTCTGTCGGCCCCACTTGCTGCAAGGGCAATAATACAGGGTGCTCTTGTGTGCAGATGTTATCACTCCTCAGCTACATTGGTAAAGCAAGGTTCAAAGTGAATATTTTCCATTTACTGAGCTGCTTCGAAGTGAATCGTTTTGTCACCAAATGGATCATTAGATGTCAGCTTGACTCAGTCCATACCAATTTGAGTCAGAAGTTTGTGGGTTCAAATCCCCCGTCGGGATTTGAATGCACATTTCTAAGAAGACTCGCCAATGCAGTGCTGGGAAACTGGGAAATAGAACGAGGGTAACAGGTTCTAATCTCGAGGAGATGATAGGGAAAAATGCAGGAATTGATTAACATCTAAACAAGGAGGAAGTGATAGAAAGTCACAATCACTATTATTCTTTCTCTTTCAGAGATGGTCATGGTGACATTAAGGGGGTCGTGTGTCCAAACCCTGGAGGCAGTGCAGAGGAGAGCAACAAAGGTGGTCCCTTGTCTTAGAGGAATGAGCTAAGAGCACTGATTAGACAAGTTAAGGCTCTCAGTCTTGGCAGAAGACAATTCAGAGTGGATCTTACAAAATTTGTACAAAATTTTGAATGGAATTGAGAAAGTAAAACCCAGAGCCAAACTTTCAGATGTACCGAGATAGTAGGACAAGAGGACATAGGTTTAGAGTTGCAAAGGAGTCCTTGTAGTTTAGTGGTTAGAGCACTCGCCTAGTAAGTGGGAGGACCCGGGTTTAATTCCCGGGAGGGGCAAAACCTTAGTGAAAATTGCTTACTCCAAACTCCTGTTTATCTAGCAGTTATCTGATTGTTAGTCAATTGGTGGATCGCTTTCCAGGGGTAATAATCCCTCCAAAAAAAATTGGGTCACTCAATCCACAACTATTCATGGGTCACTGCTGTGCCCAATTGGCTGCTGCATTTTGCTCACAAATACACAGTCAATCCACTTTACAGTACAACTCAATGAAGTGATAAGGCGCCATATCAAATTCAAGGATTATTATTATTTTGCTATAGACACCAGGAAGTTTTTCTTTATCTCCCACAGGAATTGACGACTGGAACAGGGTTACTAGGAAGGCTGGTTGAAGCTGGAACCTGGAACTCATTTAGGAAACATCTTGATATGTGATGGGAGTATGGTAGGGCAGGGGTTCTGGAAGGATGAGATCAGATCGACTGAAGAGCTTTCTTCATCTGAACCTCTCTCCAGTCTCCTCAGCTCAAAGGTCAAGCCACTCATCTCTGGTATCATCCTAGTAAATCTCCTCTGTACCCTCTCTATGGCCCTGACATCCTTCCTAAAGTGGGGTGAGCAAAACTGTACACAATTTCAGTTAATAACACGACTAACAGAACTTAACTGCATTCCGGTTAATGACATAATACAGATTTCCAGCAATAATTAGAAAAATGTCATCCTTTGGTAACACAGTAAAAGTTCTTTGAAGTTATCGGAGTAAATCTTTTTGTCTTAATGCTGGAAGAAAGATCTGTGTATCAAGTTCTTGTGCTTCCTGCAGGTTAATATCCTGTATACAGGAGGCAGGATAACAGAGAGCAACTTTGAGCTCAAACCTGACAAGAGTGAAATATGGACTGAAATATACCATGGTTAAAGAACTGAGATGAGGCGTGGGCTCTCGCTCGGCAGATTTTCTACATATTATTAGTGGTAGTCGTAGTATTTTTCCCCTCTGAAATATTATTTGCTTCCTTTGAAAATCCTCTTAGTTTCTTATCTGCATCAGAAGAGAGGAACGGGAGTGCTCCCTAGTGTTAGAGGAATGAGGAATGAGCAACGATTAGAAGCCAGGATCTTGGGATTCATTTAAAAAGCACCTCAATGTTGTGATAGGAGGAAGTTAGGGTGGGGATTCTGGAAGGATGAGACCAGTCGGGCTAAAGGAAAGCAGCAAGGCTCAGTGTTAGAAGGATGAGCTGTGAGCAATGATTAGGCAAGCAAGAGCTCTTCAATCTTAAAAAGAGACTTAGTGGGGCATAGAATCATAACACCTTACAGCACGAAAAGAGGCCATTCGGCCCATCGTGCCTGTGCAGGCTCTTTGAAAGAACTATCCAACTAGTCCCATTCCCCCAATCTTTCTCTATATTCTTGAATTTTTTTCCTTATTGAGTATATATATATATATAACTAGCTGTACCCGTTGCAGCTTCGCTTGCAATCAAAGGGCCCAATACGGAATGTAGATTGACACACAGACAGACAGACACACAGACATACATTTCATTTAGACATTATGCTCAGCTTGGAGAACTCCTTTTGGGAGGACTCAGTGGGAGGACTCCTTTAATATATTTTCTCTCTCTGTCTCTCTCAGTTTCTCTGTCTCCCTCTCTCAGTCTCTCTCACTCTCTCTTAGTCTCTCTCTGTCTCTCTCTCTGTGTCTCTCTCAGTCTCTCTCTCTCAGTCTATCTCCCAGTCTCCCTCTTTCTCAGTCTTTCTCTCACTATCTCAGTCTCTCTCAGTTTCTTGCTCTCTCTGTTTTTCTCTCTCTCGGTGTTCCTCTCAGTTTCTCTCTCCCAGTCTCTCTCTCTCAGTCTCTTTCTCTCTCTCACTCTCTCTCTAAGTCTCTCTCTCTCTCAGTTTGTCTTTCTCTGTCTCTCCTACAAAACACACAGTGACATACACTTTTTAATATACTCTCTCTCTCTCTCTCAGTATATCTCTTCCAGTCTCTCGCTCTTTCTCTCTGGCTCTCTCAGTCTCTCTCACTATCTTAGTCTATTTCTCTCTCTGTCTCACTCTCTGTCTGTCCCACATGGGAGGACTCTAGCTCTGATGACAACCAGAAAAAAGTACCATACATTTGTTGCAGAATATAGATGTATCTCTCTGAAAGGTGTGTGCTTTCCTCTGTTGCTACATAGTTGCAGAATATGATGCATACCTCATATTTAACCAAAGCAATTTTTATTATAGGTCATCAAAGATAGAAGATCCCTCCCCAAAAATATGCCAATGACACTGCCAGATGCAAGACCTTTCTGATGAGGTATAAATCATGTCTCTATGTCAATTGGTTATTGCGTGATTTTCAAATACACTGGTCTACAGACAGACCTCATCGTTTTATTAGTATAGATTCCCTTTTGAAAACTATTATTGACTTTACTTCCATCACCCTTTCAAACAGTCTATTCCAGATCGTAACAACTCACTGCATAAAAAAATGTCTCCTCATTTGCCCCTCTAGTTCTTTTGCATGTAAGATTGTAAGTGGGATTGAGAAAGGAAACCAAGAACAATACTTTCAGATACTTTCTTTCTACACTCTGCTGTGCACATTACACTTCGATACATCTGTGCATTTTCTGTACCTCCCTCTCTTCCTACCTCTGACAACCACCCCAATTCACCCCCCCCTTCCCCTCCCCCCTCACACGATACACCATCCACACCCCTCTGGTTAACTGACACTCCAGGTCGGTCTGTCCCACCCAACCTCCTCTCAAGCTCCCACTCAAACACACTCAAGTGCCTTACATTTACTGCTGCTCACTCCCACACATCTCACATTAACGCACGCACTTCCTTTCAGGCAACCTCAGTCTTATTGAACGCGCCTACACCCACTCCCACACACCTCCCACACACTCACAACCTATCTTTCATTGCCATCACAAGATCGCAAGAGCGGTTTGGGATGAAGAAACCTCACCCTTTGGTCTCACCCTTCCAGAACCTCCACCTTACCATTCTCCATCGAGCTGTTTCTTAAATGAGTCCCAGTGTACTGGCCTCATTACCCATCCTGGTAAGCTACAAAAGACTCAGATGAAACAGTTAAAGGTTAAAAGATTGGCTCGGTTACAGAAATAATTGGACACATAATCAGGTAATTATAACCCTTGACCACATCGCATTGTCTCAAAACACTTCACAGAATTTACTGACTGTGTAGATTGTAGATGGACACAGCAGCCAATTTACACACAGTATTGAAGTGAGTGACTCATTTCATCTGGGAGATTGTTGGCCAGGACAGCAGGAGAAACTCCCTTCTCTTTTTCAAATTATTTCATTGGATCTTTAACCACCACCTCAACAGGCAGACAGGAACTCAGCTTAGCATCTTACCTGAAGGACGGCACCTCTGACAATGCAGCGCTGTGTTCTACCACCTTCCCGCCCCCAGTGCTACACTGGAGCATCAGCCTTTACTGTGAGCTCAAAGTCCTGACCTGGGGCTGGAACCCACAACCCTCTGACTCAGGGGTGAGATTACTACCAATTGAGCTAGACTCACTGCTTAATGGGGATGTCAGAACAGCTTAAAAAATAAATTATATATTTTGAAATATATAGGGAAATAAAGATTGATGAAGATAGGGATCGATATAATAATAATAATAATCCTTTCATTTGATATAGCACTTTTCACGTCTTCTAGACGTCACAAAGCGCTTCACAGAATATGCTGTAAAGTGAATTGATTGTATATTTGTGGGCGAAATGCGACAACAGTGTCCCACATACATCCGTGGATTGAAGTGACCAATTTATTATTGTTTCTTTTCTTGAGGGATTATTATCAGGGGTGTGGAGTAAGGAAACTTGCCCAAGGTTTCACCCTGCCGGGAATCAATCCCGGGTCTCTTGCTTGCAAAGCGAGTGCTCTAACCACTGAGCTACAGACCTCCACAATTTGTGGGGGAAAAAGGGATTTATATAATAATAATAATAATCCTTTCATTTGATATAGTGCCTTATCACGTCGATGAGATGTTGTAACGTTATTTTAAAATGGATTGACTGTGTATTTTGCCGGAGAAACGTGGCAGCCAATTGCGCACAGCAGTGTCCCACAAAGAGTTGTGGAATGAGTGACCAATTTTTCTTGAAGGAATATTACCTCCGGAAGGCGATTCACTAATCAACTAACAACCAGGTTCTTACTTACTGCTAGGTAAACAGAGGCGTGTGGAGTATGGAAACTTGCCTAAGGTTTAAAGTAAGTGAGGTTGGTTAACCAATGTATTAGAAAAAGTAAAAGAGCACGAGGCAGACAAATCACAGTTGGAACAGAATTCTTTTTCCACTGTGTAAGTAGTTGAAGATGTGTTAAATAAAAAGGGAATGAAAGGAAGTCTATCAGGGGATACATTGAGTAGATCTACTGTAGATAGACTGGCTGGGTTGCTTGTGTTGAATGAATTTTTATCCACTTCCGCCTTCACAAAGGAGAAGGCAGACAAATGCCAGATACAGCAATACACCAAAGGAATCCACAACATGTGCAAGTCACTAACCCATCTGCCGGCCAGAAACGTGAAGGATTGAATATCTACGAGGCACCTGGGCCAGATGGGATTCATCTTTCTGACTGTAAGCAATTGAAGGGAGCTATTACTGATGTGTTGCTATTTTTAGGAGCTCTATATTTACACTCAAGTTGTGCCAGAGGATTGAGGAGAGGTAAGGTTATCGAAAAAGAACTAACCTGGATCTTTTGGATCTTTGAATTTGATGCTAGTTATAACAATAATCCTTGCCCTGGGTACAAGGCCTTTCAAGTCAGGAGGACAGCTCAAAACACTTCGCAGGATTTATTGTATTGTGTATTTGTAGGTGAATGTGAATGGTGATGGATGATGGAGTGCTCAGTAACTCTGGGTAATGTGACAAAAAGACATTGATAATATTTGGAGGCAAATGGACAGATTACAAGATCATAAGATTGGTTTGGATAAAGGAGACCCTTTGACCACATTGGTTCTTGGTACTC